AAAACCATTTCTGTGATGTACGTGTTGGCCACTGGTGAAAGAGAGAAAAAGCAAAAGTAAAGGACAAATCAGCTTATTTGTGTGTACAGCACAGAAACAGTATCACCGTCAAATCATGTTACCTTTTCAGTAGATTCAAATTGAAGTGGAAGATGGGGGCTGGTCCTCATGCACAATCTACATGTATCATGGTGTTGTTTTGTAGGCTCACAGCTCTAAGGGAATTTGACATTCAGTTTTCCTTCAGGGTGAATCCTTCTAATTTTGATCACCTGATGTTTCCTCTTTTGAGTGGAATATCTCAACAACAACAAAATGTGGAAAACCATTCGGAACTGACATTCATGCTGCCCTGGAAATGAATTATGGAAACTCTAGATGATTCATATAAGCACCAAAGCAAGATCAATATTTTTATCTCTAAATCTGCAAGATGGATTCCCCATCCAAAAACATTTTACAAACATTTCCTGGTTCCCAGAGGATAACTTCTTCTGACCTGACTTTCATTGTAGTGCCACCGGTGATTTCAAAATGGGTGTTTTTTTGTTATGGTGTTATCTTGATCTTTCAAACCCCATCATCAGGTCATGATTTCAATTCATCTCAGTGTTTGATTCTCTAAACTTACTGTGTTTTACATTTTTGCCCTCATATTGTGCAGCCCTAACATTGCCCTGGCACTTGTGTGTATTCTGCCAATGCTTGATACACGTATCACCTCTACGTTCACTCAAATATCAAAGATTGATGTATGAATGCACATATTTAACATTAAAGCTTCTATAACTTTCAACTGAAACCCAGCTGTGTATAGCTGCAGCATTGTAAGCCTGTGTGCTGGATTGCCCCTGTCTCTCCTCTAGATCAACACACAGAACGCCTCACATTGGGTCAGACAGGCAGACCAATGAACCACTGCAGTGTGTGTGGATATTTGTGTGTCCTCTGACTAACCACCTACAAGGCTGCCATTATCAAATGTGGCATGTGTACTGTCTTCTTGACTTGATGATGATAAATCCAGACCATGAGGCAGGGATGATTCATTCCCTGGTGTGCTGATGATTCTCCCAAAAAATGTTCCTCTCAGACATGAATGTCAGAAAAATTGTAAGGCTTCGGGAAAACACTGCAGTCCTTTCATAATGTCTTTTGGTGTGTTCTTGATGCTTAGCACTGTGTGTCCAAAGCTCCTGAATTCATTTCAGTGCAGAAAAAGGCACATTTTCGTCTCGCTGAGGCTCAAACCTATAATATATAGAGAAGAGAGGGTCTTTTCACCAAGTTTACCACACTGAGCCGACACCATCTGCCTCCTGGCGATGAGCAGAACCCTCAATCAAAGCACAGAGGGGAATTAAACAGTATATGGCACTAATGATGCACTAAATGGGAGGAAATGGTTTTGTTCCATCATGTGCCTACTGGGTTATCACTGAGAGTGGAGAGCCATGATGTAATAAAAGGAGTCTGCGGCCTCGCACCGAATGCAAAGTTAGCAGTGGAAGTAAGCATGTAAGTTCACTGGAGAAGGATGTACTGATGATGATAAATGATCTTTGCTTAGGTCTTGTATTTTTGCTCCTTTAGTTCCTGAGTCTTTGCATAAAATTATTTTTCCTCTTTGCTTCTCATTTCCTCTAAACTTGTGGGCATCTTTCACACAAAATAAATTCTCTGAAAATCTATGTTTTATTCATACCTCTTTTTAATAGGAGAGACCTACTGTGGTTGAGGTGGATAGTGGGAAAACAAAGTGCCGTACTTTGACTCTGGAGATTGAGGGATGTGTACCGTCAATGTCCACTATAAGTCTGCCCCCAGATTTCTTACTGAGCAGGCACACTCATCAAGTAGCTAAAGAGCTAAATATTTCCCTCAGGAGAAGGCAAAAAAAAAAAAAAAGCGAGATGAGAACATGGGGACTTAAGACTGAAGTTTGAAAAAGGAATCTGGGGGTGTGGAGTCAGAACGAAATGAGATTACCAGACAGCTGTGGCCTTCTCTGCTTGAGGCTAGAGGCTCGGGGCTATAGAGCCAATGCCAGCATCTGTGCCTCAGTGTCTGTGGTTAGGTTGCATTGCAGGTATAGGTGCCAGGTTTTGATGGAAGGAGAAACTGTTGGAATGAAAAAGACGATGTCTCTGGTTCTTTAGTCTTTTATGAGTCCCACAGAATTGCAATGTGAAATCAGTCGAGTACTATTTTATTATCTACCTGCACCCTTGGCTGAAATCCATTCATTAATGACTTCAGTCTGTGATTTTTACTCTAGTCACCTCTTGCATTTTGAAATCTCAAATGCTCTCTTGCAGGAGATGGGACTCCTGTGTATAAGAAAGGACACTTTAATTATATCTGCTTTGTAAGAGGGAACATTTGAGACAGTCCCTCCAAACAACCATTCTTCTCTTTTATCGCTGTTGATCTTCAAATTGAATTAAAACTGCTAATGTCAATGTGAATCAATTTCAATGTCAATGTGAGTAGCCAAGCCTCGGCAAACATTTTGGAGCGATCCTGTAAATGGCACAAATATTGTTACCAATGTCATGGAGGTGACCTATTTGGATGATTCCAGGGGACGCTGTGAATATCTCAATTACCCACTACTGACAAAGGTGATTTAGTTGTTTGTTTAAGATTGATAGTGTTTACAGCCTCTTCATCTGACAGAGGAGTAATCTGGCAACAGCTAAATAAAACCTTTATCTGCCAGACTGGCCAGTCACAACACAGACACAATAACATGATGTCAGGATTGTCAGGACATTTATTCAGATAAATATAAGATAAGAGATAAATATTCAGATAAATATATGCCAGCACCTAAATGAGGCACATTAACTAAAACACACCAAAGCCCAAAGAGACTTACTGCAGGAATTTTCTCCTTTTTTTCTATTCTTAATTGTGACTAGAATATTAGAATATTTAAAAACTAATTCTATAAACCTAAACTAATGACATTATGTGAAATTGAATGACATGGTTTTAGACTTGTTTAACCCAACAAAAATTGAATTGTAATAACTTGTGTACCACTCAGTCCAGACTTTTTCCTGAGGGTAAATTTTGGAGCTAAAAAAGTTTAAAAATGAAAAGTGTGGATTCATCTCATTTCCCTTGAATCATTAAGTTTCTTTCCTTTCATTCTGAGTTGTTTGTCATTTCCACAAACAATACATATTTCTCCATCTTTAAATTTCCTACAGCCTCTTAATTCTCCCTTACCAGTGTTTCCTGGCAATTGCCTGAATCTTATCATTGAGGGCGAGGGTTGTGCTTTCAGGTTAGAGTATATGTCTCATATGCCAGGGGTGTCTCTACAGCTTTGCTGCAGCATTACACGATTAGTTCTCCATTTATTTAAAGCTGCTGACGAGAGCGAGCGAGAGGCTCTCCCTCTGCATGCAAGGCTCTTTTAATCTGATGCTTAGTGGCTAGGCTAGTTGGAGTCATTGGGTTCCGTTGCTAGATTGTATTGTGCATGCATAGTCCTCCTTCTAACAGCTACTTTAATTTGAGCAAGGCATTAAAGCTAGGACAGCTCCAGGGCTGCTGAATTTGTAGCTGACCTCTGACCTCGTCACAAAGGCGACTACACAGATTTAATTAAGTCTGACAGTTTACATTGGCACATTAGTTGGCGAGGTCGCCATACAACCTCAAAGTCACAGAATCACATCCTCCATAAGAGCCAGATTCTGAGGATGAGAGCATCAGTCAAATGATGTTACAGTTACAGTTCTATACATCCTCACTGGAGTTGCCATTTTAAAATGTTGACTGGTGTAATGGAATGTAATGGGACAACACTAAGTGTTGACTCGGGGTGGGCCGAGCACTGGAGTGGTAAAACTGATTAAGTCGATAGTGCCGTTTTGTGTCGGGGAGCGCCCCAGCACTACACTGCACTCATTTGGGGGTAATGCCGTCATCCATGCATAAAGACACAAGTGGGCAGACACAAGAAGAGCAGGCTCTTTATTCCGTTTGCCAAGTAGGATTTAGGTTTTCCTCTTCAGGCATTTAATGGAGATAACAGCTTGTTATTGTGAGGGCTGCACGAGCGAGGCTGCAGTCATTGTTACATTTCTGCTGATCAGTGCTCATTAAAGGCCTCACATTGATCTCTGTCTGCTGGCTACAAATCTCCACTTTGAAAAGCCAACTTGTGTTTCTAGGCTGTGTTGACATGCAGATAAAGAGGGCTGCATTCTTGGTGTTTTATAAAACGCTGCTAAGATTGCTTTAAAAAAAAACATTTTAAAACAGTCTGTAGTAAAGCTCTTTAAAGCGATCGCTCATGCTCTGCTTGTAAAAGAAGTTACATTGTGTTACAGACAACTGCAACAATGTGTGAAATAACAAGGTGACAGCAAGAGACAGCAAACATTAGCAGAATACAGCAGCCCAGGGGTCTGCAGCCTTTACTGTCTAAGGAGCTATTGACAGCCAGACAGAAAACAAAAAACTGTGAGAAGCCAAAAACATATGTACTGTATATATATATATATATATGTATATTTATAAATAATGTTGTTTGTTATTCCCATGAGCCAGTATAGTGGTAGTGAAAGCTATCCAAACCATAGACTGTATAAAAACATGGACAACACATCTCCACTAACTCCCACTGTCCGGAAAAGAAGACAAAATATCCTGGATATGAGTTCGGCCTTTTGTGGTTATAGCTCGACCCAAACTCAAGTCAGTCTCAACAGTTACCCATTGTGTCTCAACCCATTTTTATAGCATTAATTGTTGAAACCAAGCATGCACAAACCACTTGAACACACAGTCCATGTCCCATCCACTAACATGGAGGAGGACGGGTTTATGATCTATACTCCACTTTGCAGACGCTCTGGCTTCACTTTCAGCCTTCACACTGTCCATCTTATATACAGTTTACAGTTATTATATGTTACAGAGGCGCATGCTTCTCCTTGACAGAGCCTCAGTTTGTTTTTTTGTTGTTGTCTTTTCTTCAGAGGCGTCCCCCAGTCCTGTAAAGAGCTCCCCTGAAACATCCCCCATGACCTCCCCACGACAGCGCCGCGACTCAGACCGCTACTGCCAGCTATGCAACGCCTGGTTCAACAACCCCGGCATGGCTCAGCAACATTATGATGGTAAAAAGCACAAGAAGAATGCTGCCAGAGCAGACCTGCTGGAGCAGCTGGGCAAGACCCTGGACATGGGAGAAATGAAAGGTACAATTCACTTTTTAGCTGACACCCATCATTTAAAAGAATACTTTTCATTGTTTGTTGATGTGAGGCACCTCACAGAATTTGCTGATTTGTTAGAGTTTTGTTTGTGTGGACCTTTTGGCCTCAGTATCCAGGACAGCTGTCTCTGAGGCAGACTCAAACTTGTGTAGACTGAGCGATGGATCAGTCATGGCACAGTTTTCAGAAATGATGTTGAAGAGTCTTGTTCACTTCAGGGCTTCTCATCCACACAAGACAAGGGGCTGACCTGATCATAGTTCATAGAGTTCATGACATCCCATAGTCTCCATAGGGAGTGAGTAGTAACTGATACTGACCTCTGACCTGCCCCTGAGGGATCAGTGATGTTAACTGATATTTGTTATAAAATGCTGTAAAAGTCTGGCTGTGGATGGATTGTTTGGGCTTTAATGGTCAAGAATAATAATAATATTGAATTAAGAAAATAAGAAATGCATTACCTTCAATGTATTGACATAGGAATAATGGGAAAGTGTTTATAAAATAAAAAAGACATTTAACCATCTAAATGCATTTTAATCATTTTATTTAAAGTCACAAAGCCACACAACGTGGCTTGGTTTTCATTTAACAAAAAATGCTCATGTTTAGTTTTTTTTATTTTGAAAACTGGTAAAAAAGTTGCGATTCTAAATTAAAAAATTGTTAAGTTTATTCTGAGTTCTTTGACAGCTCTCAGTAATACTGTGACATTTTGTTCAATACCAAAATAACCAAGTGCAGTGTTAACAAGCTGCAAACTCAACACTGACATATTGTCACCGCTTGAAAATTATGTGTTAGCAAACAATTAACACATCGATTAGCCTCAGTGGAACATTAGCATTCAGTTTGAGATGTGTTTTTGTCAACATTTTAATATATTCACGGTCCTTATAGCTCTGTTTTTACGTGATTAAATAATTTATTGAAAATGGACATGACTAAAATTTAATGGAACACGTTATTTGGAAAATGGTGTGGTATGATATTAAAGCACAATTTTTTTCTCAATTAAGTTTTCTACATTACTTCCACCCCCCATATATCTTGGTCCTTTGTGTGCTAATGCTGTTTGACTGTTTAGAGAGCTGGTGCTCATGAGTCATGTTTCCGACCTGATAATCTCTTTTTCACTCTTCTTGTCCTTCTTTATTGGTCTTCTCAAACTTGTGAGGAAATTATCCCCCTCTTAAAGCTGCTGAACTCTCCAGTATGTTAACCAGCTGGCTGCTAACTGTCTGTGTTTTAAGAGGTAATAGACAGTGAGTTTATCACAGCCGGAAATCACTGAAAACTGTGGCCTGCTGCGGCTGGAAATTCAGGTGGTGAGGCTGGAGCGTAACAGTGAATCGGTGGAAAACTAAAACTATGTAGTGAAAGATGCTGAAAGTCTTTGTAGAGTTTGGAGGAATGAGCAGAGTCAGTGATACTTCTTTTGTGGGTTTGTCATCCTTTGTGTTAAAGAAATTGCTATTTTCAATCCTTCCACTCGATCCCTGCCAGAACAAATCTCTATCATTTTCGCTCCTCAAATTCTTCACCATGGTCCGAACCAAATTTCATCTTTGGGAAATTGTTACATTCTATGACGTTAGGGTTGGATTGACATCTCCATACATCCTGTTGTCATCATACATCTATCTATGCCTGACATCGATTGGCAAACAGACATCTGTTTGATGTTGGCTTGTTTTCAATTTGCCAGGTAGTAGTCTATCTGTTTGAAAAAAAGATTAATTTTAGTCTTTTTTTTTTGCCACTGTCATATTATTATTGTATTACTACCAGCAAAATGAATGTCCTCATTGATCAAACATATCTTATAAGGTTAAGACTGCTAGCAAAATCCTTTCTGAGCCTCTGCTTTCTATTCTTCTTCTAATCTCAACTTCTTGCAAATAGTCTGAAAGTCAGAATCTTCAGTATTTTCACACTGCAAATGATCCAAACCATGGTGGTTTGATCCTGACCGAGTCCACCTCTTTTGGTCAAACTAAATTTGGACCTTTGACACCTGTTAATTTAGTTCAGTATAAACCCCCCTCATTCAAAGGATGTTAAAGAGATCATTGTTCTCTCCCCTTTAGATTTGGGGAAAACTTTATTGCTGAGTGTTTTCTTACCACATCATGTGGCCAATAAAGTCCTGTGCAGTATTAATCAGTGTTGGAGAACAGCATCACATTTGTAAACACTATTCTCTCTGCCGGTGAAGTGACGGGCAGCCCTTTTGACTGGAGCTGTCAGACCGACTCCTCCTGGAGTCCACCAGCGTGTCACAAGCTGTTAATTTTACAGAAAGAAGGGGACGTTCTTGCTTATGCTCTCGCAGTCACAATATGTCAATAACAATTACACAATATAATTCCAGCCATGTGGAGGGCCGGCTGCCAGAAGAGCAGAAGGAGCCCAGAGATGGAAAGGGCACTGACGTGTGAACACATCCAATGGGAGAAACAAGTCCTCACAGTTGATTGGACACAGACCTCTATCCCCAGGCTTGATTGGCTCTTTGTGCTTTTTACAGTAGGTGCATTGTGAATAATTGAGAGCAAATTTGGTGGCTGCAGTCAGTTCACCTTTGTCATGTTGGTTATTGTGGTTTAGAGTTTTTTTTAATACACTTGCAGTGCATTTGGTTCAGGGTGGTGCATACTGAATACTGAACAGTTTAGGGCTTTTTATTTGTGTGGGTTTGATTTCATCATATTTAAAGCACAACCTTTTTAAAACACTAAATGCTGATTATAATTTATTTGCAGCAGAGCCCAACAGATCCCAGAGCTTTAAAAGGAAGACAGAGGAAAATGAGAAAAACTGCACTATGGAATCTAAATTGTTATGTGTTTGACAGAATATGTTGTTGTATGTTGTTGCTCACATTAAGAAGCTGACTGAGAAAATACGTTTTCAGGGCTTTTGATCTCTTTGACCAAATGTATGTGAAGTTAAATTTAAAGTTTTAAAGACGACGATAACCCTCTGTGCTCACTTTAGGCCCCCTTGTTTTTTTTGTTTTGTATTCTTAATAGCCAGAGGAACTTCAATTGCAATTTGGACATGTGATGTGATCAATATTAATCATATTTGAATAAACAAGTGATAAGCGCTCTGTCAGCTGTCAGTGGGGGAAGGGCAGTGTGCCTTCAGTCTGCAGAGTTGAACTTCTGCATCCTCAGATGCACTACATCAGTTTGTCAAACCTCAGGTATATATTGCTGCCATTATTTGGATTATATGATTATTTTTATTTAATCATATTGAACCAGCACTAACACTCACAGGTGACGCAGGTGCTGGTCTCCTTCATAGTAACAGCATTCATAGAATCACTTCCTCTTTAGCAATTTGTCTTCAAAGTAAAAGCTCAACATTATTTTTGTTGCTGTAATACTTAACATCAAACTGAATTACAGAGCTTTTATTTTGAAAAGCTGTAAACTTGGGTCTGATGATTGTGTCGCTTGCTATACCTCTGAACATGCCAACATGCAATGTATGAAAACAGTAACAGCAGTTCAGTAACTCATTCAAATGTATACATAAAGCACACATGGACATAATGAAGCAGATTCATTTTCATTGGATGGAAAAACATCTAGTATAAAACGGGTTTAAAAAAGCTGAATTTGGTTGATCATGCACACATAACTTTGTTGCAGATAGACTAGGTAGGATGAAAACTTTTTTTTCTTAACTCTGCTCCATAGATTGCTTTTAAAAAGCTCTGAACCCAAACAATAAAAAATGGACATATTGTTTAACAGTTTGAGAAGGACTCACTAATGACAAGGAATAATTATGAATTAGACCTGAGTGTATGAAACAAGCAGTCATTCTTAAAATTATTATACACATGTATATTCACAATATGGAAAAGGGAGATACAATTAGATTTATTTTATAGAGCTTTTCCTCCGTCTAATAACTCACTGTCAGTCTGATTGGCATGTGTAGAACGGACACTGCTCTATAGCCATGATAACACCACCAGAGATTTAGATCTTATACTAAAATATAGTGTGGCTGAAACAAAACCAGAACAAAATATTGTTGATATAATACACAGATTTTTTGGGAGGGGGTTCGATTCCGTTCCCCACCTCTTCGCTCTGACTGTAATCTGTCCCAGTCCTCTGCCTCATCTCTCTGCCGCAATGCCTGTGTTTTGCACTGTGTTAGGAAGAGACGCATTCGCCAACATCAACATAGTCATTATGGAGAGGCTGAAAATGTCAGCATGCAATAGCTGCACTATTCAGCACTTGGGCTAATGAGTGTTTCTCTCCGGCGAATATCAATTAGTAATGAAGTGGCAAATCATCCTATCAGGCAAAACCAGCACTGTGAGCCTGTGGAGTGGAGAATGGGACCACAGCAGGCGTAGCAGGCGGCCAGGCTCGGGAGGCAGGGGGATACTGCTGCCAGAGAACCCACGGCTTCCACTTCTCTATATTTCCTCCTTTCATCTTTTCCTACATCTGCTGTTTTCCAATTTCCTCTCTTTGCCCTCACTCTGCTTGCCATTCCCTCTCCCTGACCTCCTGTGCCGTCTTTGAGCTCCTCTCAACTCGCTGAGAAAATGTGTAGTCTGACTTAAAAGATGTCATGTGATGAAATATTCAACAAATCCCAGTCCTGCCAGTCGATGCCGTCATCTGGGGGTCTAGATATTGTTGTTGTGCATATGGAGCTGAGCAGAGATAGAAAGCTGATAGCAAAGATTTGAAAGGAAGAGGAGAGCAAAGGACGTGATGCTTTATCTAAAGTGAGAGGCCATTAGCTGTCCACTGTTCCTGTGTTTGAATTATAGAGACCCTTCCAGGTCAGCTGCTGTGCAACCTGGTGCCCACCTTGGCTCCAACCCACATGGAATAAATAAAAAGACTGTTATTTGAAATGTTTTGCAGCCGACTGTACAGAGACAGAGTGCGGAGATACAAAGCATCCACCAAATTATGAGAAAATATGGGCTT